AAAATGCTTTACATCATTAGTCATCAGGAAATGCAAAGACAAGCCAAAATGAAATACTGCTTCATACCCATGAAGATGCCTAGAATCAGAAATCAGATAGAACAAATGTTGGCAAATGTGTGGAGATATTGGAACCCTTATACACTACTAATGGGAATGTAAACTAATCCAGCTATCTTGGAAAAAATTCTGGAAGTTCCTTAAATGATTAAACACCAAGTTACCATATGACCAACCATTCCATTCCTAGATGTAGACCCAAGAGAAATGAAAATATATGACCATACAGAAACTTGTATGTTGATAGTAGCTTTATCTATAAAAGACAAAAGTTGGAAATAACCGAAATGTCCATCATTGGATAACTGAGTAAACGAATTGTGGCATATCTCTACAATGGAATGTTACTCAGCCTTGAGAAGCAAACACTGAGACATGCTGCAATATTGATGCCTTGAAAACATTATGCTGAGTGAAAGATGCCAGTCACAAAGATCACCTATATGACTCTGTTTATATTAAAGTGCACAATAAGGACAACTGTTGACACAGAAAGTGAATTGGTGGTTGCTTAGGGATAGGGAGATTCAGGGAGCAAAAACTACAGGAGGTGAAGAAATGTCCTAAAATTTGCTGTGTTTATAGTTGCGCATATGTTGAATATACTACAACCAGAATTTTATGGCATTATGAAGTCTATTTCAGTCTGTTTTTTTTTTCTCTCTCTCTCTCTTTTAGATGTAGGGCCTGTGTGCTCTCCAGAGAGAGATAGAGACAGTGAGAAATCACCCTCCAGGGATGATGGCCACACCACATCCCTTCTCCTCTCTGGATTTTGGGCACACTTGCACCCGCACCCAGAGTGATTTTCAAGCCATCAGGTCCTGAACTCAAACCACCGTTGGCCATGTGGGAGTTCAGTGCCTTAACTACCATGCCGCCTTCTGGTCCCTGTTTCAGTCTGTTTTTTGAAAAAGTAGGAATGTATATATAATGACTACCCGACTCAATGAGAAGAGACAGACTACTTACAGATGGTACCTCTGGTAGCTTTCCCTCTCCTGCTGATTTCCCCTCTGAACCCCAGATATCAGGCTGGCGTTAGGCAAATGTGCTCAGCCCTCTTTAGAGCAGATGACACATTTTAGCATTCTGAGTGCTATCTGAAAGAGAAGTGAAAGGGACAGAGGAGTAGCAAAAGCGAATTTCTCTAACCTGTGGCTCATACTAAGCATATGGCTTAGAATCAACCAGTTGTAAAACCCAGGAGGACCCAACCACTGTGGCCCAGATAGTGGGCACCACTGTGTGATGCCAGAGCCATGTGGAAGGGCCAGGGGTTCAGATCTCCAGTCAACCTGAAATACTAATTGTGGGCACTCCTGCTATTCTAGTTGACTAGAAGGCTTGGGAAGGACTGTGGCATGCCAGCACCCTGTCAGGCTTCTGTCTGTCTCTCTTTCAAGAAAATACAAACAAGCAAACAAACAATCGTAACACCCAGGAGGCAACTTAGCTAAAGCATCTCTTAATAGTATAGAGTCTTCTGGAAAAGGGAAGAAGCCCCACCATGACATAGATTGGTGTTCTAAAAATAGATTGCTCAGACTTTAAAACAGATCTGCACTTTTGGAGCTCAGCTATCGGTGCTCTGTAGGAGGCAGGTAAGGCTTATTAGGTTGGTGTTTGAAGACACCTGTGTTCTGTCTGTGCCAGCATGTAGAAATCATGCCAAAAGATCGTTAGCCAGCATGTTACACACCTGCAGGATGTGTCACATTAGTGGAGAGTGTAGTTAAGGATCTTTCATTATTATTATTATTATTATTATTATTATTATTATTATAGTTTACTGTAGGGTGCATGTGTTCACCACAGAGAGATTGACAGAGTGGGAAAGCACCTCCCAGGGAGATGGCCATGCTGCAATCCCTTCTCCCTTACAGGGTTTGAGCATGCACACACATGAGTCCAGTGTGTTTTCCAAACTGCCGGATCTGGGACTTAAACTGATCCATCCACCTTAACCACCACGCTACCTGGCTGGCCTGCCTAAGGATCCATTTTAATGGCAAACACTTCATTCTCAAAGTTAACAGACAAAACCCTACCAACCGATTCTCATTATTGATAGTTGGGAATGTTAGATTTTTTTTAAATCATGTAGTCTTTATGTACTAAGTAATGAATGAAAAAATAGATGTGGGAATCAGATATTGTCAAATATTTTTCATTAGTGTGTGAATTTTTTTTTCAGGTTTTTGCCATAGGACATGTGCACTCGCCAGAGAGAGACAGAGAGAGGAAAAGTGTGAAGTCACTCCCCAGGGGGCATGACCTTGCCTCAGTCCCTTCTCCATTTTTCTCTTGCGATTTTGGCATGCGCACACACATGTGCCTGGCATGATCTTTAAGCTGTCAGTTCCACAAATCAAACCCCTGCTGATCCAGTGTGTACATTTTTAATATACATATGGTAACATAAAGTGTTAAAGGAGGGGCCAGCAGGTGGTGTAGCAGTTAAGGTGCTGGACTCACATATGTCCCAATGTGGTTCGAGTCCTGGACCCTGTGGCTTGAAATCATGCCAGACACATTTGTGCATGCCTAAAATCCCAGGAGGAAAGTGGAAGAAAAGGGATTGCTGTGTGACCATCCCCTATGATTTCTCATTTTTCTTCTCACTGTCTCTCTCTGGTGAGTGCATGTGTCCTATGACAAAAACAAAAACAAAAACAAAAATTAAAAGAAGACAAACTATTTCAATGAGCAAGTTTCAGCAACTCAATTTCTGACAATTATAAATAACCCCTTTTTTTTTTTGTATAATGACAGCATTCAGGGTTTTTTGTTGTTGTTGTTGTTGTTGTTGTTTTGGAGAGGTTTTTGCTATAGGGCGTGTGTGCTCACCGGGAAGAGAGAGAGAGACAGAAAGCGAGAAATCACCCCCCGGGGGGATGGCCACACCACAATCCCTTCTCCTCCATTCTCCTCTCAGGATCTTGGGCATGCACGCACCTGTGCCCAGTGTGAGTTTAAGCCACCAGGTTTGGGAATCGAACCACAGTCGACTACATGGGAGGTCAGTGACATAGCCATTACGCCAACTGCTGATCCCAGCACTCAGAAATTTTTAAACGAGTGAATGTCTTACTTTCTTAATGGTGCTTTTTATTTTTATTATACAATAGATTTTATCCATTCAGTATAGTTTTATAATTGAATATACATGCAAGTACATGTTTTTAATGTTCCAATGTACTATTTTTATATACTTAGTTTAATACATTAAACTAAAAAGGGTTGATGTTAGCAAGTTCTAAGTTTCTCAAACTGACACTTGTTTGGGCTAAACACACTAAAGTCCCATTGAAATGAGTAAGCACTTGAATAATTAATATTGGTGGCCTGGCAGTGGGGTGATTCTGGGGTTGTAAGTGAGGCCCAGTTCAGATCCCTGGCAGCCCAGAACATGCTGGGTACTTCTGTGTGCTCTGTGACCTTGGCTCACTAGAAGGCTGGGGGAAGGACCATGGTGTGGAGAGACCCTCTAGAGGGCAACTACTTATATCTCTCTCAAAAAATAAATAAAAATTATTAATATTGGTAATTATAACACTATAGGAATTTTTTCTTTGTTAGTTATTCTCCATCAGCTATTTTCAATAGTGAGAAGCCTGGGCCCCTAGGAAATGAGTTGGAATTTTATGGGGTAATATTTTGGTTGTCACATGATGGGGGCAAGTTATTGGATCAGCTCTTCTGATGTATTAATTCAATCTATCCACTAGATTCATCCCTTAGCACCTGCTTATAACACATGGTTCTTCCAACTCCTGATCTTCTTGGGACATGGAAGATAATTTGCCTTTTGTAAGCATTTTAAGTTCCTTTCTCTTAAAATTTTATTTATTTATTATTATTATTATTTTGTTTTTTAAGAGAATTTTTTTTTCCATAGGGCACGTGTGCTTGCCAGAGAGACAGAGAGAAAGTGAGAAATCGCCTCCCAGAGAGGGGATGACCACACCACCATCCCTTCTCCAATCTCCTCTCTGGATTTTGGGCACTCATGCACGTGTGCCTCATGTAAGTTTCGTGCCTCATGTAAGATTCAAACCTCTGGGTCCAGGCCTCAAACTGCAATCAGCCATGTGGGAGTCCAGTGACTTAACCACTATGCCACCTGCTGACCCCATTCTTACTATTATTGTTTTAAATTTGATCAGAGAGAGAAAGGAAAATGAGAAAGCAAGCCACCAGGTCGAGACATGAATAGCCAGCCCTTGGCTATGCGAGAGTTTAGCACCTTAACCACCACACTACTTGACGGCCTTAGTTTCTTTCTTTTACCAAGTCAGTTACCACTTGTCTGCTGCATCGTGCTTTCTAAATATTTCTTGAAATTGTTTATCCTGTATGTCCCCTCTCCCATTCTCTTATTCATGGTGGATTTGTGCCTTTTTTTTTTTTTTTTTTAATTCTTTGACTGTCCTCAGTCCAGGGACTTCATAGGATGAAGAAACCATCAAGTAATCAATCTTCTATGTTTAAGAGATACAGTCTCCTCCTGGAAGATACAGAAAATGTTCTAGGTGTTTGGGGTTCTTAATAATGATTGGCCAGTGTACTTGTCATTCATGCCTACTTAAGACCTGATCTGTTAAAAACTTACTGCTCTGTGTGAGCCTACCCAGAATGCCAGTGGTACTCCCATTTAGAAACAATGACCTGGTACAATTCAAAGTCATCAGTTCATTCCAACCTTGTATTAACTCAGTATAAACAATACGTTTAGACACTAACATTTTCTGTAGTTGAGACTAATATCTAATCTTTCTCATTACTGTTTCTCAGGCTTAGCTTTTTAAAATTTATTTTCATTCAGAAATAACAAAACAGTGTTATGGCTTATTATCATTAAAAAGCAGAACACATTAGATAAACTGAATTCTTACTCTATTATTCAGCCTTGCTACATTTCTTTTTCTTATTAACAGATATTTCGGTAAAAGGCCTCAGTGGGATTGTAGAGGGGCATCAAATCTTAATGAACTTCACCAGCTATTAAGTGACATAATGATTAGAAGATTAAAGACTGAAGTTTTAAGTCAGCTGCCCCCTAAAATCAGACAGCGGATTCCATTTGATCTTCCGTCAGCTGCAGCCAAGGTGAGAACCCTTGTTTGATTGAAAGTCTTATTTTAATCATTTCGAATTATACTATTAAGGGTTGCACATATTTCATATTTTACAGAAGGAATAGTCTGCTTTCTTAAAATAGGTTTAATTAATAGAGCATATGAATTGGTTTTTTATCATTTCAAGAAGACAGCAGGAAGAATTTAATTTTAATCATTAAATATGTGAACAAATACAGTAGCCTAGTGATGTAAAACATATTTCTGCTGAATTTAGAAAAAAAGTACTTCAATTACAACAAAGATTTTGTATTAAGAATTCTAATTATCTGTAATATATCATCCCAGTAATTAGCAAGGGAAGTTAGGCTTTTTGCTCTAGGATTTTTCTTATTATGAATAACTGTCTTCTAGAATAATTTGGGTACAACCCTGTTCTTGAAATCCTAGAACTCTGTGATCGTGTAGTCAGATGTGAAATTCAACATGCCAGAAAGCCAAAAGTGTATTTTACCTAATCTTATCCACACTTCTAGGTAGTGCAGTGCTTATATACTCATTGAAATTTCTTCAAATCTGGACATGACTTTATTGACAAAGAATTTTTTATTGTTGTATATTGAAAGCTCAGAGTAAACATTTTATAAGCTGTGAGCAATATTCTTTCTATAAGAATGATCTGATTTTCTTTATCTACTATGGTAACACTAGAAAGAAAAGTAAAATGGAGTTGGTCTATGATTCTATTAAATTTTAATTAGCTGATATGCTCCAAGTCTTTATGCTTATTTGAATAAAATCATCTCTTTTTAAAAATGCTTTGTTACCATATATTTTTTACACTACTTTGTGTTCTTATGTATTTATTTAAATTTTTATTTTCACATCAGAAAATATTTCTCTTTAGAGGAGGCTGTAATTGATTTATGATGTTAGCAAAGGGCTTTGTTCTCACCCACAGATTGTCATTGGTTTCTATAATTGGCATAAACATGTGACTGACCTATCTCTGCACTGATGTTTTTAAATGAACACATCAGCATCTCTGGGAATTTTCTTTTTATATCTTTCTATACAGAGAAGAAAAACCACAGGACATGATTCATGACTGCATTAGTTGTTCTTTCTTAATGCTATATTCTTAAACGATGATATTTTCTCCCACATAGGAATTGAATACCAGCTTCGGAGAGTGGGAAAAATTAATGAGAGCTCCACATTCAGGTGCTACAGAGACTGTCATGGGGTTGATTACTCGCATGTTTAAACAAACTGCCATTGCCAAGGTACTCGTTGCTGGGGCATCTTGTGTTTGTTTTTGTGCAAATTCAATGTACCTTTATATTTTTAACTGAGCGGTTATTTTTGTACTATAACATGTCTTTGCCATGTTTTAAACTCTTTATTATAGAAGAATTCAGGCATATTTGAAGTAAGCGGTAGTATAATAATATCACATTGTTCATATATTGATCCATTCCATTATGCAGGTATACTTTTTATCTTTTTGACAGAGTGTTGTTGTGTGGCCCAGGCCAACGTTGAGCTTCTGATCCTCCTGCCTCAGCCTCCCTCTGTCTCTGTGTATATATGTATACTTTGATGAGGGACTTTAATATACTGTTTATATTTAAAGGATATACATTTATTTATTTATTTATTTATTTGTTTTGTGCTTGTGCTTGGCAGAGAAAAAGAGGGAAAGTGAGATGTCACCACACAGGGTGGCTGGCCACACCACAGTACCTTCTCCTCTTAGGATTTTGGACAGGCACACACATGTGTCCAGGTGCTAGTTTTTCGAGCCACTGGGTGCAGGACTCAAACCACATAGTCAGCCATGTAGGATCCAGCCACCTTAATCACCATGCCACCAGCCGTCCCCCCTTTTCTTTCTTTTCTTATTTGCTAGAGGGCAGTGCTTAGTGGAGTGACAGAGAAAAAGAAAGAGAAGAGATCACAGTACAATTTCTTCTCCATTTCTCCATTTGGAATTTGCATATGCACCCAGAGTGTTTTTCAGGCCAAAAAGCTCAGCACTCGAGCTATGCAGTCAGCCATAGGATCCAACCACCTTAAACATCACAGCACCTTTTCTTCTTCTAAGCTAAAGTCTTAAGCCATTTTGAAGGAAGCAAAGCCCCTCTCCTTTAGCCTCCAAACCCACTTGAAGATAGACTGCTTCTGGGAAGGGAAGGGAACAAAATCTATATCTCTGGTGGTGGGCAGGAAATTCTATTGGACTTAGGACATGGCCTTATATTGAGGCCAAGATCTGTTAGTGCTGGAGGAGGGACAGGAACCTCTCTAAAACCACCCACAGTGGCAAGACATTGTTTGGTTGTGAGAGGCAGGGAAGCGCGGG